AGCGTTATGCCATTAATATAGATGTATAATTATTATTAATCTATCGTTTACAATTGACCCTGAACCTGTATAATATGTGATAAATGCATATTCTGTTAAAGCGAGAGGGTCGTCACCTGCGCACGCGCGGGAATTGAGTCCCATGCGACGATAACAACACGCTAAAAACGCAAAGGCTCATGGGTAGATGCTTGTTTGTGAACAATGATACGCTATGGCCATCTGACTCATGCGCAGGTGACGACTCTTTAAATATTACGGTAGGGTGGGTGTTATAAATGTAATGTTATTTTATTCAACGCATGGTTCAGTGCTCGCCTATTTCTCTCACAATATTTCGCATGGATTCAACTCCTCATCCAATATGGCTGCTGCACATTCCATCCTCAGTATTGTGTGAACGTATGTTAAATTCAAATTGAGGCCTTCTGTATGTGGGGAATTGCCATGGAGACGTGAGTAATTATGTTCACATGTAATATAAATAAGTTACATAGTGCACTACTAATATTTCGCACAAATCAAATCTGTATTCAGTATAAATTATAAGGGGGAGTCTGGAATAACAAATTAATGCTCCCAGATGAAGGAGAATAACATTTACAGTTTTTTTTATTCTCTGGATATTCAACTTATCGATATTAAAACAAATATGTAGTCCACCATCAATGGATTGTGGGTAAAGTGTGAAATCAAGTGCCACTGGTACCCATTTTATCTATGACTTGGGATATGCCGATGAGAATTTCTTCAAATTTTTGTTGTTGTGGACATTGCCCATGTATATAATCATAATAATGGAAACTGGAATGTGACAAATACACAACATGTAAAGGTATTGCCAAAAACGTAAAATAAAACATTGTTTAAAACGTTTTAATGACCGAAATTGGGGTGGTATAATTAATTTACTATATTGTATAAATGTAACAATTTCATTATATACGAATTCATATTCTTTTGGAATTCATATTCATGGTTATGATTTATTTCATGCAGATTATTTATGATGTAATTTAATTACATCTGAGGGTGTGGTGTGTATCTTTCTCAGTGTTTTCCTGTTTTCCCAAGTGAATCAAATGTGATCTGTTTCTGTGTAATTTGTAATTCTCATATCGATTGAGTATGACATTTCTGTTTTGCACAATAACTCATTTATCTACAGCTTGGCATGTTATTCCCACTTTATCACTTATTCAATAAGTGAACATCCCATAGTATTGTTGTCTTTCATTGTGTCACGAGTGAAATTTACCCTGGCCATCACAAGACATTTCCGATGTGGTTATTACTCCGTCGATTCCGATTATCCCAGAAGAAACGAGACCGGCCATTAGCATTTCTGAGAGAACTATCAATTACCATGTCAAATGACACATATAATACCCTGGACGCTATATAGGGTATAAATCGACATCCAATTGACATATCGGATTCATTCTATTCGGCCATCTCAAAGAGTAGGCACATTAATGCAGATGTAAACAAAGCAGTAGCTAGTATGGAGAATATAAAGATGCACTGACGTAGAACATCTTGGTTATAAATATTCATAAGACAATATATACAAAGAAGTCGTGAATAAATTTATCTTCAGATGTATATCTGTAAAGCATATATAATAGTATGTATTTATGCAATAATTTATAGTAAAATACATTTGGTGCAGGAGATGATATAGGATAGATATTTGGTCCTGATGGCATTGTGTTAAAATATGATTGTAATATTATATTACCTTATTATCGTTTTCATAATTATTTTATCTTGCTCACTGTGATTGTTATTACATAAATTAAAGAGAAAATATTAGATAATATACAGCAACCAATTGGTCACCTGTGTCCTTGTGCTATACAAGTATTTGAAACATCAAGTGACACAAATGACACAATTTATCTGCTATAATAAGCTATTATATTAGATAAAATAACTAATTACCTCGTTTTGACAACATGTACTGTATATTGGGTTGTTTTTGGTACCTCCACTAATGCGATTCGAAGCCAATAACTGACAAACGCTCAGGTTTGCGATATTATACAGCATACTAAATATATTTATCTCAAGTATAAGCAGCGAGACATGTGATCGGTTGTCTAATTTGTCCCTATGTTCAAAAAAGCAATTTGTAGACATGTCCGTATTATGCCGTCAGAATAACCTTTCAAAAGCAGTAATTAGAATATAAATGATTGAATAATACATTTTTCATTAATACAAAACATAGCAAAGTTGTCATAATTATAACTGTAGCAATTTACCCCCCCCCCCCGGTAGCTATTTCATACTTTCAAGCCCAATTCAGATGGACATCCCCTCTGAATGCTCAGATGGCAAATAATAAGTGTAGTGTAGTGTAGTGTAGTGTAGTGTAGTGTAGTGTAGTGTAGTGTAGTGTAGTGTAGTGTAGTGTAGTGTAGTGTAGTGTAGTGTAGTGTAGTGTAGTGTAGTGCAGTGCAGTGTTGTTTGTGAATTAGTAATTTACAACCTGTAATATATAACTACAATATTGTGCAAGACCCGCATATTCGAGTTATCAGGCAATTATATGTAATGATAAAAAGGGGTTACTGTCTTGTAATTTATGCCGCCAGTTTGCTGCATGAACGATTGCGTATATTTGACTTGCGCTATCTCACAATCTGTATGCACAACCAATGTAGCGTTGAATTATCTCACAATTAATGAATCAGGCTTTGTCATACATATAATGATACCTGGGGTTAGTTTCCGACTGTTGCCATGGAACGCCATGAGTGGTTGGAATGATGAATGCGTTATTTCCTGCCTATGAGTTTAAAATAGTCAGAGCCTCACAGTTTATTCTAAAATGACGTGAGGCTCCCCGCTGCAATTGTTCAATTATGCCCCTGACGTCATATACCCTAACATCCCTCGGACCGAATGGAGAAAGCCTTCAGCGAAAGTAAATATACACACGCATGCAAACAAGGTAGTATCTCTGCGATATCTGCTCACGAAATGGTGGATCTAAGAATGGCTCGGTGAGTGCTGCATTTTATCGAAGAGAATATCGCTCTGACTTGTCTTTCAGTTGCTCAACCTCGAGCTGCGCATGTCAAAGCGAGCGACGCTCAATTTTGCAACAATCATGTTTCGACACTCTAAACATTACGCACAAATTCACGTTGTGAAATGAGCAGACAACAACGTCATCTCCAAACTCCCGCCGATTAATTTCGTGGCGGCTGTTGAGTGGACTTTTAATGAGAGAATAACCTTGTGTGGAGCAATTGTTTGTTTTTTGAACCAAGACTCTACGCCTCGTGCTGTGCTCAGGCGACTTTCTGTCGACGCTAAAAAAGCAGTTTACTACCGCCGTGTGTCTCAGGTAAATCAGCGTTATTCTGACAAGTATACCGGTGTTACATCAGGAGATAGCTGTAATACGTACACGTGTGTTGTTATCTGGGATGAAATATTGCGGTAGAAGAGGAAGTGATTTTTACTCCAAAAAAAGCCGCGGATGAAAAAATTATTTTAAATTTTACTACAACAAAAATGGTGGAACATTGAATATAGATTGCTGTAGTTATTGCAGAACCTACTCACTGTGTGTCAACTGTGCAGTGCATGTTGCCACAACTTTATGAAATTATAAAAACGTTACCCTATTAACTTTTTCACCTTTTACAAATTAAACCTGCGATAATATGTCCCAGATGTGTTCAAATGTGTTGATTAGGACTATATTTAAACCATTTGAAATTTAGAAAAATGCATGCAACTTTGTAAAATGTTGCGCCACAATTTTGGCGGGAGAGTAAAAAAAACCTACTCAGAATATTTGGGCGAGAATTGCGCTATTATTAAGGTTGATACTATTTAAACTATTGTAGTCAGTCGTCTGTGAATAGCGTTGTCCATGATTGCGAGAACTAGCTGAAAATAGAACTATTGATCATAGAACGCTGTTCGTCCCGTAAAGGGGTCAAATGTGGCCAACTTGCGCAGACGATAAAGAAATTTTCATATTTGTTACTTTTTTGTCTTTCCGGGGATTTGTTATGACTCCCTAGCCTATGAAAGTTTTACTGCCTTAGAAGTTTACAACATTGCACGATTATTATAACAATAATACTGATTCATGCCTGTCGATAATCTATTTTTTGGCTTTGTTTGATTGGTTGGTTGTCAGCACGTGTAATAGGAGGGATAGAGAGAATCAATGAATGCCACATGCATATGTAAAGCGTCCTGGCGACGATGATTATTAGTTCCGGGTTATATCGTGACGTCATCACGCACACGCACAACATATCGTTCAATGGTCACATTCTTGTCTTCCCGACACACAAACCATGTGTCAATTAAATCTCTAAACTAAACTAAAGCCGACCTGTTGTGATCGTGGAGACAAAATAAAAGGTATGGCGGGTTAATGTTTATAATGTTTATGATGGGTTATTAAAGTTAATAAATATAAAGTTATTAGTGTATCCGTCAATGAAACAATCATCTACACATACACACATACTTGAATGTGGAGTATTCAGCAGACGATAAGTAAAACAAGAAATGGAGACACCTTTCTATCTATTGAACAGCGTTGTCATTTCGAACTATGGTGTTTCCTAGGGGGTGTCTCGATGTTGTTAGAAAGTTGTGTGTATTATAGAGTTTGCCAGAGCAGCATCCCGGGTGATTGAGCTAGACATAAAAACCTTCACCAGTTTTAAAGCAGGAGGGTCGTAACCTGCACACGCGCGGGAATTGGGTCCTAAGCAATGATAACAATACGCTAAAAACGCAAAAACTCATTGGTAGACGCTTATTGACGCGCTATAGCCATCTGACGCATGCGTACGTGACGACTCCGCCGCTTTAAGGGTGTAGCGAAATAATTCATATTTTGAGCATCCTCATGGACAGAGCATGGAACATGCGTGCTGTTTAGCTGAGTGTCAATAACATGTTTATGTATCTCGTTTCAGATCTTACTGGATGCACGCACTTGATTACGTCATTTGATCATGAGGCTGGAACAAATCGTTGTAACCACTTCGTTCCTGTATTTGTTATTGATCGTGGTCTTTATCTGCTTCTACTTTAACGTTGGTAAGGGTGGCCCTTCTTGGGGGTCAACTTCCCCAGTGTTTGGAGGCGGTCGAACATGGCTATTTGCCGATGATGACTACTCTGAGAGGATGTTCAACAATACGAACCTACTATCGGGGGAGTACATTCATTTGGATCAGTATAGTTACCTCATAAACCAGCCGAAAATATGCAGCGACCATCGCGATGTCTTTCTGCTTACTCTAATCACCACGCAACACAAAAACTACAAGCAACGAAACGCGATTCGCGATACGTGGGCAAGTATCAGCGTACATGAAGGTAAACAAATCGCCAGTGTATTCCTACTCGCCAAAAGTCAAGATCCTCGATTGATGAGGCTCGTCGATAACGAGAGTCGAAAACACCGAGACATTGTAGAATTCGATTTCCAAGAGGACTATTTAAATTTAACTCTGAAAACGCTTCTTGGTATGCGGTGGGCTGTTGACTACTGCCCTCAATCGAAGTATATTTTAAAAACAGATGATGACGTTTTTATAAACCCCTACACACTCGTTCATAATCTCACCGAAATGCCGCGTCACGACTTTGCATATGGATATGCGTACTACAACGTCACCCCAGCGCGAAACGTAACTAACAAATGGTTCACGACCTTTGACATGTACAAAGGAACAAAATACCCTCCATATTTGGTTGGCACCGGATATGTTCTGTCTCATGATGTTGCGGCTGAAGTCCTCAGTCTCGGTTCTACTAAAAGATACCTAAGCTGGGAGGATGTGTTTGTTGGGATATGTTTGGATGAATTGAAGATACCGATACGACACAGCATGGGTTTTGACACGTTTTCGAAATACACGGATTTCAGAGAGCCATGTTCATTTCATAGCCTTTTTACGTCGCACCGAAAAAATCCGTTGAGGTTGCGCTACATGTGGAAAGTGTACACAAAGTACCGGAGGGAGTGTATCAGAAGAGCCGCCCAGTCGTCTCGGAATATTGTCGTTAGCTCAAAACGGACGCCGTGATACAACTGTACACGGGGCTAGATGGGGCATGACGTTTCATTTGGCCGCATTTACGACTGATTAACATCAAACAGACGGAGTGTTCCGCCAGCTTAATATATCGTAATGACCGCAATGTTGATGCATATAGCAGCGGGAAAATATTGATTGATATAAAAACAGTTGATATTTTGATTTGATAGAAACGTATGGAACAGTATTTTTAACGTTTGCTGTAAAATAATATTCAAGCAAAACCAACGACATTTGCAAACTATCCACACCTTATCTTATAGCGGCGCGCATCCACTAAACTCATATATATCCCAGAATGCATTGTGAAAATAGTGGCTTAATATGATATGTCGCTGTAAAAATGCGCCCTAACCAGAAATGTGGTTGGTGTGTGCATGACAATCTCTATCGTACAGATGGCACCTTCTCAGAACGCCAAAGTGTACTTTTGCCATTTGTTTCAGAAAATAAGCCTTAATTAAGTGGGAAATTCGGTCAATTTGCTCTAAAATTGAGAAAGAATTATAAAAATACATTAACAAGTGTAAAATTGTGTACCCAAATTTCGGCATGAAATCTCAAGTGGTTGACTCAATACTGAATGAATGAATTATAAAAGGAATAATCTGCACAATATTATTAGATTATTTCATTTATGGAATCATTAAAATTAGTTTTTCGGCAATTACGTAATTAAATTATTTAAAGCGGGAGGGTCTTCACCTGCGCGCGCGAGGGAATTGAGTCCCAAGCGACGATAACAACACACGCTAAAACGCAAAGGTTCATGGTAGACGCTTGTTTGTAAACAATGACACGCTATGGCTATCTGACGCATGCGCAGGTGACGAAACCCCGCTTTAATTAAATGAGCACCCACATTTCTGAGGATTCTCCTTTATTGTGATCAGAGTGGCAAACAGTCACGACTAAGCTAGCTATAGGTGTATGTGTCATAAATCTTTTTCATATAATCCATATGGCACTTGGCCAAAATTCGCATTTGTTATACCAATTCATACAAATAAACGTGACGATATGCCATGTGTCACGGGACAGACTTTGATGGTAATAACATGCAACTAGCTGGGATGTGCCGAGGAATTTATGTTCGAGTTGCCCAGGTGATGTGTGCATATGCCCAACATGAATCTTCTACCTCGTGTGTTTTCATTTAGTGCCACAAAGGTTATTATAGTTCATATGTAAATGGTGAGAACATTGTAATACGATTATTTTTACGATTTGATCAATTTACTAAACGGGACGCGTGATACATCAGACGTGAACATCATGCGTAGACAATAACAAACAACTTTATCGCCAACTGCGTTATTTCGTTGTAATTTTGGCGCAATTTTTGCAAATATTACAACGCCTCGACGGTTATATATAAATACGCCAATCACTATTAAAGTTTTCATTTTACTTATTGACTGCTTGTTCAAAAGGTGACGTCATGAATAATTAACCACATTATCGATTGCGTCGTGACGTCATACGTGAACGTGGTGTTGGTGTTTAAAATGTTCAATATCAATGTATTTACAATCGTGACGTAAAGGCAGGCTCCTTTGCTAGCGGCGCGGTGCACCGCAGAATTTCTTATTTCAGTTAACAACATACTGTTTTATAATTATAATTGTATATTAAAGTTTTAACTATTCATGCATCCAGACGTTCATAAATGTTTGCCTACGAAAAATACTGAAAATACGATATCCAGATGTGATCAGCAACCAGGAGTTATGAGAAAGAATGAGTCAACAGCCCATAGAACAGGGGATATTTCAGAGACGCTGGCGCTGGCTGGGACATATCCTACGACAACCAGTCCAAAACATCACAAGGGCAGCACTGAAATGGAACCCACAGGAAAAAAAGAAAACTGGCCGTCAAAGAAGCACCTGGCTACGGGACCTAGAGGCTGATGTCCGGAAGCTGGGCTATATCTCGGCAGAAGTGGAAAAACTGGCACAGGACCGGCCTGGTTGGAGGAATCTTGTTGGTGGCCTATGTCCCAACTTGGATGATAGGCATAACTAACTAAACTAACTATTCGCGCATAACGGTTAAGATTAATACATGGATAAAACATGTTTTTGTTAAACGTGTTGTTCGATACAGCATGATGATGTCTAAATTACACTATCATTTATTATAAACTAAGGCTTTTGAAACACACTGTACTATTCGTTCGATGACAAATGAAAAAACACATTACTATCGTACGTATCAAAATGAATCACTGCACATGCATATTAAATTCTCAACTGCGTTTTTGAAATCTAATTTTAATATAGGTAAATCGTAATCCGATGTATTCATTAGCAAACAGTATCAAACACGAATTTAAAAATAACACGTTCACGTTCATATTGCATCTTGGATACTTTACGGACAGGTTAGGCAAATTATAATTAATTTGCGTAAAATAAAAATATGAAAGATATGTATTGGGATTAAAGTCGTAATAATGGCGGACTGCATGCTTGAATTGGTAATTATTTATGAAACAATTCTCGTCTAATTTTTTCAAAAAGCAATACAGATAATGCGTATTTTTCAAAATTGTGCGTCTATTTTGCATTACGCAGTTAATCGTTTCTAGCGAAGAATGTTTTGTCGTGCCAGACCAAAAGAACGTGTTTAGCTTACTGACAAAGAATACTAGTCAAGTACGTATATTAACATGCAGGTTATCGACCAAATAATGAAAAAAAAATGTCTCGATTGCCACCTGAAATCGTTTCACACCATATACACACACTACAGGCATTAGTATTTATGGGACGTATTACGAACGCTCTGAAAATTCGATCTGTTAAGTCCAATTGAATTGTGTGTTTCTGAAATCTGACGAATTTTCGATTTAAATTGGGTGTTTTCAACAAGTCTCCTTTCATTTTAAAAACGTTCTCTGTAAGTGAGTATTCTAAATTATATGATGTCTTGGTAATTTTGTCAACTACGCGTCTAGAATAATCGGATAAAGAATATGAGCGTGACGATGACATGGATTTGGTCTTTTTAACTAAAATGCATTGTTGTGTACAAAAAATTGCAGCGAGTCATTTTATATCGACAATATTTAAAATAATAGAATAACTGGGACCATTCATTCACCAGGATTGATTGATTCATTGATTGATTCATTGATTAATTCATCCATCGATCGTTTCTTACTTTCTTTCACTCATTAATTAGTTGTACAAACATCCCCTTCGTCACGTATTCCTCCCCGCTATCCGCTAGTGATTAATGGGACCTGTAGCTCGAAGAACTCATTTATTTGGTGTTATGAATAATGATGTGTTCAAGTTGTTAGGTATAGATAGTCAATCACTATATTTACGAAAGTGTATTTCCATGTCATTTCAAATGCATCTCATCGCGTTCACAGTATGAGGCAATAAATAGAACCAATAAAGTAGAAGTGTTTTTAGCGGAAGAGGATTATGAAGGCTGTGTAAAATCAAAAAGAACCGCCATACACTCGTATATAGGTAGACGGTGTAACAGGTGTGTGTTTAATATTGCAATTATTAGTTGTCAGGAAATAGTACATTGAGTGCTTCAAATTTTACTTAATTATAGTTTGGTTTCCTGTAGACATTACTAAATTTTAAATCTGCTAGGTGTTCGTGAAATGCCTCGCTATTTGGAGTATTATAGCAAATTTGGCAATTATTTTTATTTATTTAAGAGAACGATTGTCAAATATTACACTGACTATTTCTTGGAAAGTGGTAGCTTCGTAAACTTGGCAAAGTCGAATAGATTACATAATCTGGTACACACCAGTATACTAGTTGGTACAGTATATTTCGAAAGTCTCGGTTTACAGTCAATTAATGAGAAATACTCGAGAAGACGAAGGATCTGCATAATATATCCCGCCTTTCATTAAGTTATTAGACTTACTTTTCTCCTAATAATTAAACTCCAAACACAACATGATTATGACGTGTTAGATGGCGCAGTGTATTTTACAAAGCATGTCCTCTGTGGCCAAACATCAATCGCGCGACATTTTTTTTGTTCTCGAACTCGAGCTAGAACTAGGATCGGAGTCATTTATGTTTTTTTTTTGACTGATTTGATAAGTATTACAAAAACATTAGACAGATAAACCTTAACAAAACACACTGGGTGAATAAATAGTACGTACCAGTAATTCGAAGCCACTGCATAATTATAGTGTATTATTGAAGTGATTACTATTTTACTTCGATTTTCACTTATTTAGAAGAAATATTTAGTAAGAAATTACATTAATATTGTTGGCGTTCATAACAAATTAATTTTTGCAAAACTCACCATCATTTCCCGCCGCCAGATTTACATACAGGGCGCCGACAATGGCAACAATGGTCGATGATTTCGTTTTGAACATTACTACTTATGTTGCAATGCAATCTGCATCGCTCCACACTTTGGCCGTGAATAGACAAACTGTAAGCTAAACCCACAGTCTAGTGCGATTGAAATGTATTTTAGAAACTATTATTTAAATTAATTAATTATTTCATATGCAGCAAGTGAAATCATGATTCATCATAACAATTCATACATCAAAAGTGAATAGATTTTAGTTGGAATATTTCGTTTTATGTTGGGTTAATATAAAGAAAGCAACGATTATTGGTAGCCTTCATTTGGGAAATTAGCATATTTGTCAGGAGATAATTACCAAGTGGCTATTTATCTCAAATATGATGTATATGCTAGGAGAGATCTGACATCTGCGACAAATTACAAGAGCATACATTCTATATTCTCGGGTATAAAATGTGCCATATACTGTCATGTTGCCCCTCCTCCCCAACTATTTTTATTTAGTTTGAACACAAAGATTCCTTATTTGCATATATTTGTGCATATATGCTTCTTTCTTGTTTATTTATTTATTTATTTATTTATTTATTTATTTATTTATTTATTTATTTATTTATTTATTTATTTATTTATTTATTTATTTATTTATTTATTTATTTATTTATTTATTTATTTCGGTCATTCAGTCAGTTATTCATTTGATTGGTTTGGTTCGCAAATGTTTGCCAATACGTCAACAGTTAACTTGATAAGAATCGGTAAGTTCAGGTTAGGTCACCGCCATGATGGGAAGACAAATACTCGCAGCTCTCGCTAAGCCCTGACGTGGAGACGCTGATCTGAAGACCTCGATAAAGAGAACCTTTTCAGACAAATGCCAAGTTCATCGTGTATGTTGCGAATATGTTATCGTTATGACATCCAGTTCGCGTGAACTTAGCGGTGCTGTTTTTTTAGCTGCGTTTTCGATTTAAGGCGAATGAATGAGGGCGGCCATATTACATGTAGTAGATTATAAAGACAGTGCCCATACATACCACAGTAAAATCAATTACTGAAATATATTATTATACAGAACTCACGTTATTTTGATTCTTCATCGTATACAACAATGTAGAAATATATGTGTATGCCAACCCACGAAGTGAACAAAAAAAAATCAACTAAAGTACCCTGTAGTAAATGAACGTTGGTCATTAGCGTAAACTGTACTATGACCTGTATCGCCGAGTGTAAACTTTGAATAAACCACATTAGTTACAGCTAGAGGTGAATATATAAAAGCTTCCAAAGTGCGTGTATTACACAACCCACGAATCACACTCACCGACCATGGGACCGATGCAACAACCGATACGCAAATTCAGTCTATTCTCAGACAACCCACCCAAAACGATATTTCTCGCTGTTGCGGATTTTGCGGAAGGTTTTCGATATTTTTTCTGGAAATGTATATTGCTGCGTTTCAAGCAATCATAGCATTTTGTGTGTTAACAGTCATGTTTTTTTGTGTTCAGGGTTACCGAAACATGGCCCGGGGATAGCCGGTGTCATACACCTCAGTCAACTAATAAATTAATTAGTTGTCTGGGCATACACATATATCTCTCAGCGTATCAACGTAATCTGGTTATGTCTCGCGATATATCGCGATATCTCGGGATAATTGGTGGGAATATGAATAGATCTCGCGTTATTTTGTGAGATCTAATGATAGTCTCGTTGCTCGGCAACGTTTATTGATATGATGAGAAATGATGACCTAAACAAGCGTGGCACGCATTACTTCAATCACAGCCCCTCTATCGATAGAGGGATAGACGGGCTGTGCTTCAATAGAAAACGCTGCGTTGCCAATATGTTTCGTTGGTTGTCTGATGTCTATTGTCATCCAACCATTGTCATCCAATTGCATCCCTGTGATTTGTAGAATTCGCACATGATGTATATCATTAAGCAAACATATAGTAGTCCTATTTACATTGTTGCCGATGAGAGCGATGTAAATGTCGGAATAAATTTGGAACACAGGAGATACTGCACGGCGGACTCTGGAAGACATAATTAGTACAAAAACAATTCGAAACTACGACAAAAGCAGTAAAGTCATGAGTCAAACCTCGCTGCTTGTTACTTGTCGTTGAACTGAACTGATCATGCCGCGCAGGGAGTTAGTGAATATTTTCTGATACAACTTGTGGAGTCTATGATATTTTAAGTCCTAGGAAATCATTCTGTGATGAAATTATTTGCACGTATCTGTTAATCGACTTAATTAGCTGATTACTAGTGAATGGCTGTGTTATGTCTGTCATCGTTTCGGCCCATTTGAAGTTCTGGACGGAACTTGGCTCAGTGGTTTGGAACTAATTTAGAGATAACCGTCGCTATTCTGACTACTATTTCTGACAGTTGGTATTCGCAGTTATTAATGTAGTGAACGATTAATCAAAAGATATGACGTGTTCAGTACTTAGTGTGATTGGCTGTATGACCACGACAGACGCAGTCTAGTCTTAGAGAGTCTTGGGCGAGTCTTGACGCAGTCTAGAGGCAGTCTTGGGTCAGCCTTGCGATAGTCTTGGGGACTTTTCCCCAGGGCGCTGTGTCTTATAGAGTGCTCGACTGACCGACTAGGACGAGAGTTGAAACGTATTTTGTTGTGTATGTCTTATTTGACTGTAAGCTTAAGTGACTTTCCCGATCCCGTACCTCAAGGGGACGCGATAGAGAGACGAGACGATATTCCCCCCTGACACGTGTGGAGAACCCCGGTGAAGAATTTCTCCTCCTGATAATTCACTGTCAATAGTCTAAGCACAGTCCCTCTATCTAGGGACTGTGGTCTAAGCCTGGTCAGCTTTTTGAACGTTTCTTGTCAATCTCCCAACAACTTTTATGGGGAAAGTATTTAACAGTCAATGAGTTCAAGTCGTGAGCGTGGTAGTAGTCGTTCAATGTCATGGTCACAAACGATGTGAACGAACCAGCTGGTACAGGCCCTATGATAATCAATTCAGTGGGGGAATAGAGTGAGCGACAGAAACCCGAAGACGTTTTATGATTATATACATATATGCACGTTAGATTTCAAATTGGCCAATCCAGAAATGGACTTGTAACCTGGCGAGCGCTTCATTTTAAATAAGCGGCGAAGGGCTGCAGTTTCTATGTCACGTGTATAAAAGTACAAGCGTGCATTGTGGGTGTAGAGCTCTTATGGTAATCACTATTGAATATTTGAATTTGAATGAAAGTTCATTTGTTTTCAACTATATTTATAAAAATAAGGTACAGTTTCATTGTGGAAGGTTTATATGTTGTGTTTAACTTTTGGGTTTTCTTCGCAGGTTAGTGAGAATGGCATGGCAGACTGAAACTGGCCAATTTTACGAAGAGAATGTTTCCAAAACGACTAATTAACCAAGTGTGTGTTATTGTTATCTTAAGTTGTGTATATACCAGTTTTTATTTCTTCATTGCATTACACATCAGCCACAGCAGTCATGACAAGGTAACTAGACGCCTTAAGCTCCAACCCCTGGGACCACAACCGATCTATTATAACAACTCAAACTTCCTCTCGGGAAAGAGATTCGTGGCAAACGACTTGGGATATATCATAAACCAGCGGGATATCTGCAGAACCAGAGATGTGTTTCTGTTGACTATTGTGACATCACAAAACAAAAACATTGCCGAACGGACAGCAATTCGACGTACTTGGGGAAATACAACGTTAGAAAACGACAAGGGTGTTGCCACCGTGTTCTTGTTGGCGAAGAGCCATGACCAAGAATTGATGAACGAGATTCAACAAGAGGCTAACGCCTTCAGAGACATACTTCTATTTGATTTTACAGACGATTATTTAAATCTGACGTTGAAGACAATTCATGCATTTCGTTGGGCGGTGGATTATTGTCCACGCGTCTCTTATATTTTGAAAACGGACGATGACGTTTTTGTCAATTATGACTCTCTCATGAGAGTGCTTATAAGTAAGCCGCGAACAAAACTTGCCTTGGGTCAGGTATCCCAAAACTCCACGGTGATCAGATCTCCAATGAGTAAGTGGAATACTCAGTTTGACTCATATCCGGATCCGGTTTATCCGCCATATTTGGTCGGGACCGGATACGTGCTGTCACGTGACGTGGTCGAGAAGGTACGAGACATAGCGCCATCTTTGATCTACCTCAACTGGGAAGACGTGTTCGTGGGGATTTGTTTACGGAAGATTGGCGTAGACGTAGTAAACGACACGCGATTTGGTCACGATTGGTCCATATATTCTGACCCCGATAGATGCAAACTGCGGTGGTTGTTTACGTCACATCACAAGGCGCCATCTCATCAGTTATTTGCATGGAAAATGTTACAATATGCCCAGCAACCCAAGCGCATACTCTTGTATCCATGTGTTGAATCGGGGTATAGGAAGACAGGACGCATGTTATAATGTGATTGGACGGATGAGCATTGCATCATATATAACATGGAAATGTTCATTGCTATATTATGTGCATTTATGGAGAATCTTCAAGACAATGAGCCTTGGAGATTCTCCATAAATGCATACAACATGGCAATGTTTTACAGTTACTTTTCGTACCGTATTTCAAGAAAATTTGGCAAATTAAATTCAAAACGTGCTATTTTAGAACAATTTTACAGACCACAATGATATTGAAGCAAAATATTCAAAATTTGCTATTTTAGAGCAATTTCACAGACAACAATTATATGTCAATTATATGTCAAAAAATGTATGATAAAACCAGATACTTGTACTACCCGAGAATTTCTATCATATAACACATACACTCCACCATCATCAGTTTCAGTTTGATCTGTATTTTATAAGATTCCCTGTTTATAAACAGAAACATCTCCTGTTTAACCCAATTGGACTACTTTCACCAATTCATATTTGCGCTAAATTATTCATTCAACAACCTCGGAATGCAAAATGTTATTGGGGAGAACATTTTCCAGGAGAACTCATACGGGCATGGATTAAAATCAGCAGAGAGAGAGAGACTCCCCGAAAATGTGTCAGTGACATTTCCGATCCTGATTTCACTCTACATGTGTGTGTCAATATCAGTTGTGCCATGGTGCGCCTTCAACATTGAGCAAACACTTCAATCTTCATGGCAAAAACGAGACTTTTAGCCAATAAAGAAGGTGATATTGACACTGTTTTCAACCTAGTACGTAAAGAAAACCTACGCGTATAAAATTTTATTGTTTCAAGCACAGTCCCTCTGTGTTTCAAGCAATGTGCCAGCGCTGCGCGTGGTGGGTCATTAGGTTTAGGTTAATCCTATTATAAATTACAGGGATTACAAACTTTGTGGTAAAGCAAACGTTCTAATTTTTTGTTTACTTGTTTTTTTACCTTTCTATTTCCTCTTTTTCTTCTATAAGGTTGAGGAAGATGTTCTTCTGGGATATGTAGCTGGATTAATTTAACAGAATAAAATGTACTTCGCTCGGAAAAAAATGAAGGATTTTTAACCTGCAAATCTGGTGACCCCCCCCCAATGACTAAATTGCATACAAGGATTTCAGAGTACATTGTGTGAACAATATTATATCAAATATGAACAATGGTTGAGCGAATGTGACCAATCCAAAACCAATATGACCAATCTTAGGCTGCATGAGGCTAATTGTAAATACAATCGAGTTCAAGTAGACCAAATAACGCCAATCCTAGATAAAAAAATATATGTATACCAGTTCAAGACTGAACAGAGTAAAGTTATCCAAATATGGTAACTCTTTACCTAAATACGGCCAGACAACAATCCTAATATTATCATTACTAAAGCAAATGTGAACAATGGTACACCAAATCATTCGGCTAATGTGTCTAGTATCTGTTGCCAGACTTCTCCTCCATCATCAGCATTAACTATCTACACAAGTGGCATGGTTCTTGGAGTCCAAATTGACTGGCTTCACTATATCAATGTTACTAATTGCATTTTTTTTTATCACATCATAACGGAGAAGACTTTACAATACAGTAATATGTCACCGTAACGCCATAAGTTACAGCGTGTCGTAATGTTGCGGTATTTTACGGGGTATTTTCATCCTACTATATAAAGAAATGTTAATTCCAAATATGGAATGATCACGCGCGTAAGCGTCCTCTAATAATAAAAACAAACATGGCTGCCACCAGGGTTTGACCTGTACTCCACACAAGTTCGCTGATTCTGTTCTAAACATTTTGGATTTCAGCACTCCTATGGTTATTACGAGCATACCTCAAAGTATGCACCCAGACAGTACGCCGTCGCATCGATATTTCAGCTGTACTGTCTTTGTGCATACTTTGAGGTATTCTCGTAATAACCTCATATAATATACAAGCCAAAAGCACGTTTTAATCGCCATGACACTAGAATAATGTGATGATTAGCCACTAGGTCTGTTTTCAATTTAAAATGAATATTAACAATTGGATAAATCTAATTCGACACTGATTCATGATTTTATTTTAGGAATGGCTCTACATTAAATATCTTTAATTTCATATATCATATGATGTTTTTTAGAATGTCAATAACTGAACACCTGAGTGTCACATGATAAGATATAATAATAACGTCAACCGTTTACAAGAATATGCAATTACTGGAGGGCTATCCATTTGTTGTTGTTTTTTTATAAATTTGTTTCCATCTGCATTAATGAACAGGTGCTCTTTTTTGTACTTTGTGACAACGTGACAGCGCCACCAAAGTTACAAACTTCAATTTACAGTACCGAGAGGGCGCTCGCTTATTGCAGTGCACAAAAAGCGACATTCAGGTTGCAGGGGTGCCCTTGTTATTAAGCTACCATGCGCGCGAAAGGAGTAGAATCAAAATGGATTCTCTTCCTGTCAGAAGAAATGCGCAGTTTTAGGCAGTTATTTCAGTATGCAAGCTTCAGTTTTCTTCTGAACATGTATTGTAGTATCCACGTTGCCCTTGAAAGTTCCGGCGTCAAACATAGAAAATGTCTTTTACATTAATATATTAGACTGTCGACAGTTTTTTGGGCCTAGTTTGTTTATTTTTCCAGAAGAATAACATGAAATGCCGAAGGCGTTTGCTAAATGAAGTAGGTCGTGGCCAAAATGCACTCTGTGTTATACACTCAAATAAATATGGAACAGAACATTTCTATTTCAATGGTATCCGTACGTACATTTGTAACGTATTTCTGGGGCAGCATACCAACAAGTATTTTCAGATTGAGGAAAACTGTTATATTGTATTACGATCCTGAATAGTGCGGGGTTGGGGATCGTCTGCCCGTTATGTGTACGATGTTCAACCTCAGACTTGTATTACTAGTCTGAGGTTCAACAAAACCCTGCACATTGCGAAAATGCCGGACCTTGGTGCATTTTGCAAATGACCGTAGTGATTTATGCAAACAGCCGTGGTACACTGTGCGAATGAACTTGAATGTGGTGATTTACGTAAATGGCCGTGATTCATTGTGAAAATGACCGCGGTACATTGTGCAAATGACCGTGTGGCACATTACGCAAATGACCGTGGTTTATTTTGCACGTGACCGTGGTACGTTGCGCAAATGACCGTCGTATATTATGCAAACGACCGTGATACATTGTGAAAGTAACCGTGGTCGACTGTGCATATGACCGTGATACATAAATTGTGAAGATGATCATCGTGGTACATTGTGAAAATGACCGTGGTACAAATGACATTGATGCTCCGCGCAAAATGACCAAAGTACGTTGCGTCTGCGAAGAGGAGCGTGGTGTGCGATATAGATTAAGTTGTTCAACATCACTTATTCGTGTGAGCCAAAATCAATTTCGTCTTGCATTCATGTAGGTTCACTATCGGAGCCTCGACAATATTTGTATGTGTTTAAATTCATGCTGATGAACAGTGCCGTCAACAATGGAGACTAAATAAGCAAATTGCATTGACCAAAATACATGTACACTTTATCGCACGTTTTGTATAGCAATCACATGAAACGCACGGTGTCGGACCATTTTATGAACGCGATAAACGATAAAGAGCCCCCACAGTTTGCCCATGGCGAGGAAACCCGAACAAAGCCGATGCCCGCCCACCGAACAATGAAGCTTAGTTTTCACAACAGGTGCATGCAGACGTTGATCACGTGTTGTACTAGTATTCCCCTATCATTATCATATATTCTCCCAATTCGCCCCGAGGGCGCCCCCTGAATTGACGTGTTTCTTTACTCACCTTTCTGGGGAGGCAGCTCGCCGCGACAGAAACCACCCGTTCCACTGTCTAGCTCCAGTTCCTGATCGAGATTGAACGAGAGTCACTGTTCAACGCCAGTAAACAAACTTCAAATTATGACGTCATTTTGAGCATTGAGCCAATTTTTCGTCACACGTGTCTCCGAAAACATGAACGTCAAAATACATTAGTATCGCTGTACGCGAAGTGGCCGAATCAATGAAGCTATTAACATCCAAGATGGCTGCTTGTCGCAAAAAAAACAATCGACAGTACACAGAGCGGTGCGATGCTTTTCCAAGATTACATCTTGTTTGTAGCCGCAAGATACAAAATTAACACGCACTCCTTCACTTCAACTGTGTCCAGTCCTTTATTTACATCAATAAGTTAAAAGTACCCCCTAAACAGTGTTTTGCTAGAGTAATCATAGCGAACTATGACAATGATAGGGACGTTATAGATAGCTAGCATATTGTCTGTCAGTTTCTCTATATCAAAGTAGTACAGCTCTAATCAGATAAGAACCGAACAGTGAAACTAACTTAACAACTCTTAACCTTATCTGTATCATCAAATTTGAGAAATTAAGAAACGTTGCTCTTTATATAGTGTATGTGTGTCTTATTTTTAAAGAGGGGAACAACTGTTTAAGTAATAATCGTAGCATTTTTTCTGTCGGTTTTATTGTCTTTGTAATTTTATTTTTATCTTGTTGGTACAATTGTTAAACAGCACTCCCTCACTATGCCCCCTCCCTAAAGATGATGTCTGTCGGTCGATAACACAGTGTCCTAGTTTATTTGCGCGTGGATCTGAAAATGTCGAGACTCTCTGCTATGGTTCGCACATAATGAGCGAATAACTCCGGCGTCAGACGACGATTTAACCCTTTTTTTAAGAAACAAAATGTACATTTGTCTCGCTGTCTTTGTTTATCTCTGGTCAGCTATTGTCGTGCGTTTTTTTATTGAGCGCACGGCTCTAGACAGTGAACTCAATAGAATTATGGTAATGGCCGTCATCGTCTTCGCATCAATTAGCTTCGCCAGAGGAGCGGACAATCACACATCTGGGTAGCTTCTCATCATCCCGCGACTGATTGGCCACTCAAGCGGGGGATGGAGTCAGTACCCTCAAGCGTTTCTCCTCATCACCGTGCTACTGCGAGTACGGAAGCTCGCTGAGTCGGATATTGATG